TCTGTGTCCCAGTGCCTGACACCGGGCCTGGCTCACAGGAGGGACTTGGCTAATGTTGGAAGGAAGAAGGAGGCAGGGAAGGAGAGAGGGAGGAAGGAAGGGAGAGGTGCTGAGGATGTAGACTGAACTAAAGCAGTGGTGGGTGAAATGTAAGAAGGGAGGGCTGGGGCTCCCTGGTGGCGCAGTGGTTGAGAGTCCGCCTGCCAATGCAGGGGACACGGGTTCGTGCCCCGGTCCGGGAATATCCCACATGCCGCGGAGCTGCTGGGCCCGTAAGCCATGGCCGCTGAGCCTGTGCGTCCGGAGCCTGTGCTCCGCAGCGGGAGAGGCCACAACAGTGAGAGGCCCGCGTACCGCAAAAAAAAAAAAAAAAAAGAAGGGCGTGCTGGAGAGATGCTGAGGCCTTAGAATCTCTAGGACTTGGTGACATGGAGGTAGGGCTGAAGCACAAAGAGATGATTGAAGATAAGTTCAGGTTTCAGACAAGAACCCAGGAGCACTGACCTCCAGCTCTAATGCCTGACCTGGGGGTACGGGCTCAGTAGTGGCCTTTGGCCCTGTCTTGTGGGACAGGTCTGGCCGACTGGAGAGGAATAGGCCTGAAACACTTGGGAACCAGCCTTCAGAACAATCCCTGCCCCATTTTAGAAAGTTTTTATTGCAAAATATACAGAAAGTGCCCCTTGCATCATTCCATCTGTAAGTTTTTTACTCAAGTCTCCCAGGACCTTTCCCCTGTAGGGAAGGAATGGGGAGTAAATCTCCCCTCACACTGAGAGCTCCTCGTGAGTGCTTTGTTATCCATCCCTCCCTCTTGCTCACCTTTCTGGAGACCCTCCTAGCCCTGTGCTGATCTGGGGGTGCAGTCCTTACTCTCTGGGAGCCTGCATTCTGGGGGAAGAAACAGACGCATTAAAAGACAATTACTGGGCATCCCTGATGGCACAGTGGTTGAGAGTCCGTCTGCCGATGCAGGGGACACGGATTCGTGCCCCGGTCCGGGAAGATCCCACATGCCGCGAAGCGGCTGGGCCCGTGAGCCATGGCCGCTGAGCCTGCCCATCCAGAGCCTGTGCTCCGCAACGGGAGAGGCCACGACAGTGAGAGGCCCGCGTACCGCAAAAAAAAAAAAAAAGACAATTACTATGTGTGGTGATGGATGTTAACTAGACTCATTGTAGTGATCATCTCACAATATACATGTATCAAATCATCATGCTGTACACCTGAAACAAATATTATATATATATATTTTGGCTGCATTGGGTCTTCGTTGCTGCACGTGGGCTTTATCTAGTTGTGGCGAGCAGGGGCTACTCTTGTGATGCGCGGGCCTCTCATTGCGGTGGCTTCTCTTGTTGCAGAGCACAGGCCCTAGGCTTGTGGGCTTCAGTAGTTGCGGCACGTGGGCTCAGTAGCTGTGGCTCACGGGCTTAGCTGCTCCACAGCATGTGGGATCTTCCCGGACCAGGGCTCGAACCCGTGTCCCCTGCATTGGCAGGCGGATTCTTAACCACTGCGCCACCAGGGAAGCCCACAAATATTGTATGTTAATTATATTTTTAAAAAAGACAATTACTTTTCAGCAGTAGTTTTCCCAGCTTTCCTTAGCAGTGAACTCTTTTCTTCAAATGCAGCCCTGTTAAGAAGCCCACAAGGTGACACAGATGACACGTGATTGTTACGTACTGTGTTCAGGCCTCAGTATCCCTATGCACCATCCAGATGGGAATAAGAATCTCCTTCCTAGGGTTGTTGTAAGGGCTAAAAGAATGAACGAAGTGCCCAGCACAGGGCCTAGCATCTAGTACTTGACAAATGTTATCAATAGAAGAGTTATGATTGGAACAGAAATTGGGAAGCCAGATTTACCAGGAGATGGGGCAACCTGTCCAACAGGTTTGAACAAATATAATGGGGGAGAGAAGGGTAAAATGTCCCGAGTAACCATTGAAACTGGAGGACACTAGGAGTGACAAAGAGACAGGCATCCCAGCATGGAGATGAAAACATACCCAGAGGAAAACCACAGTGTGAGCGAGGGTCCCAGAGAGCAGAAGCCCAGTAATAGTAGCCTCAGTCAGAGGAAACTGGAGATGCGGTGTGCTTGATTTAGCTTATCTTTCTAAGCAAAGGCCAGTGCAGGCACGGAGATGGGTGAGACTCAACCCTGCTCTCAGGGAACTTGCAATCTGGGGAGGCACTCTGGGCACAAATGACTGCAATGCAGGGAGGAAGTTGGCGGGGGGGGGTCAATGAAAGGGTGTTCTGGGTAAATCAGGAACAACTTCCTGGAGGAGGGTGCAGTCATTCTGGGCCAGATCTACCAAAATACACCACTATGCTACACTCCACTGCAGTGGTTCTCAAACCTTCCTGTAAATCAGGATCACCTGGAGTTACAGGCAGCCAACAAACACGAGAGGACGCTCAACATCACTAATCATTAGAGAAATGCAGAGCAAAGCTACAATGAGGTATCACCTCCCACCAGTTAGAATGGGCATCACCAGAAAATCTACCAACAGTAAACGCTGGAGAGGGTGTGGAGAAAAGGGAACCCTCTTGCACTGCTGGTGGGAATGTAAATTGATACAGCCACTATGGAGAACAGTATGGAGGTTCCTTAAGAAAACTAAAAAGAGAACTACCATATGACCCAGCAATCCCACTACTGGGCGTATACCCAGAGGAAACCATAATTCAAAAAGAGTCATGTATGACATTGTTCATTGCAGCTCTATTTACAATAGCCAGGACATGGAGGCAACCTAAGTGTCCACCATCGGATAAATGGATAAAGAATATGGGGCACATATATACAATGGAATATTACTCAGCCATAAAAAGAAACGAAATTGAGTTATTTGTAGTGAGGTGGATGGACCCAGAGTCTGACATACAGAGTGAAGTAAGTCAGAAAGAGAAAAACAAATACCGTACACTAACACATATATATGGAATCTAAAAAAAATAGTTCTGAAGAACCTAGGGGCAGGACAGCAATAAAGATGCAGAGGTAGAGAACAGACTTGAGGACATGGGGTGGGGGAAGGGTAAGCTGGGACGAAGTGAGAGAGTGGCATGGACATATATACACTACCAAATGTAAAACAGATAGCTAGTGGGAAGCAACCACATAGCACAGGGAGATCAGCTTGGTGCTTTGTGACCACCTAGAGGGGTGGGATATGGAGGGTAGGAGGGAGATGCAAGAGGGAGGAAATATGGGGATATATGTATATGTATAACTGATTCACTTTGTTATAAAGCAGAAACTAACACACCATTGTAAAGCAATTATACTCCAATAAAGATTAAAAAAAAAAAGAATCACCTGGAGGACTTGGTAAAACACAGCTTGCTGGGTCCCACCCCCAGAATTTCTGATTCAGTAGGTCTGGGGTGGGGCTGAGAGTCTGCATTTCTAACAAGCTCCTGGGTGGACGCTAAAGCTGCTGGTTTGAAGCCCACTCTTGGAGAATCACTGTTGAACCGCTTTGCACTGAGGAGATGACAGTGCATCTCAGAGAAACTGCAGGAGGAATCTGTAGTTTCTGGGGGGTGATGGGAAGTGATGTTCTGTGGGGGAAGCATTGCAAGACTGGAGGTAGGGTGGCGCAGTCCTTATTTTTCCAAAAGGAGAAGCAGCAGCTTTCATGAACTACAGCAGGTAGTAACAGGTGCTAAACCTCAGTGCGTATTGTCTGCCAGTTCTGGTTTCAGGTATATTACATGTGTGGATTTATTGAAGCCTCAAAACAACTCTATGGAGTAGATACTACTGTAATTTGTCTCATTTTACAGTTGAAGAAATGGAGGCACAAAGGTTTAAAAACTTGCCCGGGATCACACAGCTAGTAAGAGGCAGAGCCAGGATTTAAGTCCAGGTATTCTGGCTTCAGAGCCTATGCTCTATAATAGCTGCAAAGTCCTGGCTGGTTCTGAGGTCAATGGTATAAACCGCATACTTTAAAGGGTTGCCCTGGAGAGAAGGAAGCATTTGTTATCAGGAGCTGAGGTTGAGTTAGCAAGAAGGAGTGATATTCATGCACCAGTTCCCTCTCCAGTGGCTTCACTGAAGTCCCAAGCTGGCCCAGGCCTAGGCCCTTGGGTGTCAGCCTAGTTCATGAGCATGAGGATGACCAGCAGACCAGAGTGGGCCGGGCCAGGGAAGAGTAGCTGTTCCAGATGGGAGCTAACCCTAGGGTGAGGTATCCTGGCAGCTCCAGGTTCCACTCTCAGCCTGGCGTTGTGGGGCTTTAAAATCAGCAAGCCACACAAGGATTTTGACACAGAATATGCAGGAGACAAAGAAGGGTGTAAAGCAAATCTTTTACCTGAGATAAGCAAGATTAGAAGACCCTGAAAGTCTGCAGAAGCGGGTTGAATCTGACAGGATGATGTTGAAGAGGAAGAAATACAGTCAGGAATTGACCAAATGGAGGGGGTGGGATCAGGGAAGGCTTTCTGGAGGAGGTGGTGTCTGAAAGGACTCCTGAAAGACCAAGACGAATGACATTTGGGTAACAGGTCTTTCCAGCAGAGGGAACACCTTGTTGCAAAATGCTGGCGCTAGGGGAAGCTCGATGTCCTAGGGAACTGGCAGAAGCTCAGCAAGGCTGGAGGACGGTAGGGAGCAGCTGGCAAGGAAGGCAGAGCCCACACTGCAAGGGCAGTAAGCCGGCCAAGGGGCCAGAGGCATCCTGAGGGCACAGAGAATCCACTGGGCAGTTTCTTCAGGGGACTGATGTTGTCAGACCTACACTGGGGAGGTCCTTCTGGCTCCAAAGTGCAGGGTGGATCTGGGGATGGCTTGAGAGTGATTTGAGTGGAATGTAGGGCAGCCAATTAGTGGGGGCTGAAGGGGGTTTTACAGGCCAAGAGGAAATGGAGGACTTTATGCAGTATTTATTTAACAAAAGAGGAAAGAAATGTCCACAAAATTTTAGTTGACAAAAATCAGACTAAATAATTGAATACAGTTTTTTGTACTACAGGTCTACTCTTGAGAAGGGCAGAATTTTTGGAGAGTGACATTTTACCTAACTGGGCTCAGTCAGCATTCCCGGCAATCAAATGATGGCAGACGTTCATCTGTACAAGTCATTCTTTGCCCATAGGTCGTTCAGACACAGGGTGTAGTTTGCTGACCCTGGTCTAGACCAGTGGGCCTGGATGGAAGCAAGTGAGAAACAAGGATGCTCTCCCCTCCGCCCACAACGGACCTCCAGCAGCCTGCCACTCCGTTGAGAGATGGCACTTCTTCCAGGGGACTCAGTGAAAATCATCGTTGTTACTAGGAGAGGGGCCGAGATTCTTCAGCAATAGGAAGATACCGCGAATGTGAAGGTCTGTAATCATCATATCTCAGAGCACAGGGACCTCAGAGGTCCCTGCCCAACCCTCTCCCAACGCAGGACTAACATACATGAGTTTCTTGGAAACGCAAAATATTCCAGATATGGTAAGTGACCTTGGAGGTCTTGTTGGAAGAGCTGGTATTTGAATGCAAGTCACAGGATTCCCAGCTGGGGCTCCTTTCCCTACACAGCCCTGGCCTACCATGGACCTTGGCTAGCTTGGAGCGGAGAAGCACACAGGGAAGGAGTAGGGTCAGGACTCATCTGCTCAGGACAAGATGCTCTTCAGGCTTCTGCCTTCCCCAGTCTGTGGTTTAGGGGCAGATCAAGTCACCTAATTTACATACATTTGCATACATAACTTTCCCTGATGAGGAATCTGAGGCTCCAAGAGAATGAATAGTTTGCTTGGCATCTGTGGTGGGCTAAAAAGGTGGCCCCCCAAAGATATCCATGTCCTAATGCCTAGACCTGTGAATATTACCTTATAGGTGGAGAAAATGGGTCTTTGCCTATGTGATTAAACTAAGGATCCTGAGATGAGATTATCCTGGACTATCTGGATGGGCTGTAAATGGAATCACAGGTATCCTTGTAAGACAGGCAGAGAGAGACTTGACTAGATCTAGAAAGGAGAACGTGATGTGACAATGGGAACAGAGAAAGAGATTTGAAGATGCTTCTCTACTGGCTTTGGGGATGGAGAAGGGACCCATGAGCCAAGGAATACATGTAGCTCTAGAAGCTGGAAAAGACAAGGAAACAGATCCTCCCCCAGAGCTTCAGGAGGGAGCATGGCCCTGCCAACCATTTGTAAGAGAGACATAGTGCAACTGGGAAGCATCCACCTGGACTCTAGATTCTTAGAAAGTGGCACAGGGACCTGACTCTGCCCTCCCCTGGGGTCACTAAGACAGACAGCCAGTTCAGCCCAAGGCATCCACTGCCCCTCTGACCTGGCCCATGACCCGCTCCAGCTCAAGCACCTCCCAGGGCTCCTTCCTACCTGGGGGATCAATTCTTGACTTCTTGACTGGACATTAGTTCCCCCAGACAGCAGGCCAGGCGGCATCGTCAGGGACCCTGTCTGCCTGCCCCACCTCTATCTCAATAGAAGTTTGCTGCACAAAGGCCTAAACCTCAGCCTCCTGTTCCCTAAACCTCACCTCGACCCTGACCCTCCCCAGTAATTCTCACCCACGAGTGCCCTGCCCCTCCCTCCTCTCTGCTTTGCTCGCTCAGCAGCCCCCATGTTCCCGCCTCGCCCCCTCCTGATACCTAGCAAAGCCCAGTCCCCCTGAGAGGGTGAGGCTGGGCCGGGCCATGTGGCTGCTGGCAGAGCTGTGCTGGCTGACCCCTGTCCCACCCGTCATCGGCACCGGTAAGCTATGTCCGCAGGCTGGGCCCCAGCAGGCTCTTTGTCCCCGGTGGATAATGATGTCTGAGAACTTCTCCCAGGTCAAAGGGCAGCCTGATTTCAGGAGGAGACCGCAGCTCCGCCCATGCCTGAGGGCCTCTGAGCCTCTCTACCACGCCTGACAAGTCCTGTGGTCCTCGGGCTGTCTGAGTTGGCCAGTGTGTTGGGTGGGAGATCTTCCGAGGCAAGGCCCCTCGGGCAGGCTGGGAGCCCTGAGGGGGTGTCAGGTAGCAGGTGCTGTGGAATATCGGACCCTTGCTGTGCAGCTCCTGGCTCGCTGTATCGATGGGGAGGTCAACTACTTAAAAAACACCCCAGTGTCAGCACTCGACACATAAAAGGACATTTTTGTTCACACAGAGTCCAGTGTGGATATTCCTATTTGGGTAGCTCTCCAGGCAGCCCTCCTCTGAGATCAGGCTCTCTGCTCCTACCTTGTGTGACTGATGTCTTCGACATGGGGCCTGCAAGGTTGCTGTGAAAGAGGGGGGATCCCCTTCCCTCTGTCCCAGCCAGGCTTTCCCCTTCCCCCCTTCTCCCATTCAGGTGCCCTAAGTCTGAGGGTCACCTTGTACTGCCTCCCAGCCAGGTCAGGGGTCATAGCCATGGTTCCCACCTCTGAGTTTTGCTCATACCTTTGCCCCACCTGGGGCCCTGCTGTGTGGCCAGCTCAGCCTCTTCCTCCAGGCAGACTGCGTCCGGCAGCATCCACAGCGTTGGGCTTGTCCGGTCCAGTGTCCTGCGCTGTTGCTGTCGCTGTTGCTGTGGGAGCACCAGCAAGTCGTCCCCAGTGACCTCACCTCCAGGTGTCACACCCTCCTATGGTGTGGGCTGGAATTAGGAGGCAGAACTGATGGCCTGTGACTCAGAGACTAGACTGTAGAAGGCATTTGGTTTTTTCCTCGCTCTCTCCCCCTCCCTCGTGATTTGCTAACTCTGGGATAAGCAGTGTCATTGACAATTGGCAGCCCTCTGGACAGGTCCCCATGCGGGGGTCTGAAGCCTTCTGCCAGCAGCCGTGGGGGCGAGCTTGGGAGTGGATCCTCCAGCCCCACTCAAGGCTCCGAGACCACGGCCCTGGGAACAGCTTGGCTGCCTCTTCATGAGACACATGAGCCTAAACCCTCAGCACAGCCCCTCCAAGATCCTGGTCCTCAGACACTGTGAGACACTAAATGGTGGTGTGTAAAACAGCAAAGTTTTGGAGTATTTGATCTACAGCAACAGAGAACTAGTTTAATCACCTGAGAGCGAGTCCCAGCCTCACCCTCACCCGTGCCCAGGCCTGGCCTGTAGGGCCCAAGAGGAGGTGTGGTGTGAGTCGTTTATACAACTTCCCAGGCTGACCAGGGATGCTGAGGTCCCCAGGTCCCAGGGCACTGACGGTCACAAGGATGTGGTCTGGCCTCGGGGTTCCCAGTCCCCTGGGAACATGGTAGATCACTCACCCATTCATGGTCATGGCCTTTTCACCTCCAAGCTAGCCCACAGGATGGGTAACCAACCGTGATTCAGGGCAGTGGGGCAGAGAGCAGGGTCGAGGGTGGGTGCGGTGTGCTAAGGTTTGACAAAGGAGGTGACCTTTGATTGGGTGGAGGAGAAAGAGCATCTGGGGAAAGGGATCAGCAGGTCCCAGGACATGGCAGGTGGGAGAGCAAGAAGACAGAAGAACCAGCAGCCAACCCACAGAAGTGTGGACATGATAAATCCTTGCCTCCTTCAGCCACTAAGGTCTGCAGAGGCTCCTTACCCAGCGAGCGGGTCCTTCCCTCCTTGGCAAATCTTGCCCTTCCTTCACAGCCCCGCCCACCTGCCACTTCCTCCGTCTTCCCCTGGTGGAAACCATCACTCCCCCTCTGAACCCCAATGCCCTTGATTCCCACCTCTCTTGTGACCCTATAGCACCCACCTCATAGGGTCAGAACAGGCCATCATGAGATGCTGGGCACATCTATGACCCGACTCCTAATTACACCTACTCCCTACCATACCTCACAGGACATGAAATGGCTAATTATGTCATAATACTATCTATACCCAGAAAACCGAGCTCGGTATTGTGATCCTTATTTCTCCAATGATAAAACTGAAGTTTGGAAGAGATGTGACTTGCCCAGAGTCACTGAAAAGGGTTGGGCCAGGCTTACGCCCAAATTTACATTCTCAGAATGCCCCCCATTTGTACTTATGGGTGTGATTATAACTTCTGGAGGGAAAAGGCCTTATTTTCTTGCTCCACGTGTGGGAGTTCACAGTACTGGTCCTACCCTACCATCCTGTCCTTTCACTAATGACACATGTCACAGACCCAGGAACCCAGAGTTCTTCTCATCAGGGGTGTGTCCCCATCTACCCTGCTTGTAGACACATAGGAATATTCACTCCTCAGTATTCACTGGCCTTTGTTTTCTGGCTGGGCTACCCTGTATCTTTATATAACCAGTCCCCTTCTCTCCCATAGGACAGGCCAGAAGTGGTAAGTTGGAGTAGACGGGTCAGGAAGAAAGAGGCGACATGCCATTCTTTGGCCCATCTGATCCACCATCTGGGAAGGGGAGACAGGGCAGCAGGGCTGGGGGATCAGGCTGGGGGGCAAAGGTGAGGCTTTGACCAGCGCTCCCAGGTGGAAGTGGGGAATATGAGAAAGAAAGTAAAACAGAATCTTTCATTTGATGAATTGACATTTATGGAGCCCATTTTTTATACCAAGGTCAGGGCTGAAATTGCAAAGGATGGAGTAGGAGTTGCCTCATGGAGCTCTCAGCCCATGTGACGTCAGAGCTGAGACTCAGAGGTCATCCTAGTCACTTGGGGAAACTGAGACTCAGAAGGATGGCGAAGAAGTCCGCTCCCGGTCATTCAGCCGATGACAGAGTGCAATTCTCCTTCCCTACCTCTGGACTCAGACACTCAAAGGTGCCCAGGGTGAGTGCAGGGGCTTTGTGGCCTTGCCCTCCTCTCCAGCTCAGGGAGGGAGGAGCTGGGACAGGCAGGATGCAGGATGAGGGAAATTGTAGGAGAAAGGGCTGCAGCTGGTGGCTTCTTGCAGCTGTCACTCAAGGCAGAGGAAGAAAAACCTGGTAATATTTCCTGCCCACTGAGTGACAGGACCACAGAGGACAGAGAACCCGGACATTATTCCCTCCCAGCATCTCTCCCATTTCTCAGGCGGGCAGACCAAGGAGAGGGCTCCTTGCAGAGGGGTCACAGCAGGAGTGCAAATCACCGATGCCAGAGTCTGGCCTCCTCTGCCATGCTGCCAGTTGTGACTCGGGGCCTGGCATGGGTTAGAAACACAGGAGTCATCGAAGGCTTTGGAGATGTGCTCAACGGACACCTCCGCGAAGCCTTCTGGGATCACAGCCCCTCCCTCTATTCTCCCTAATGCCAGCCCTGCCTTTTGGGGCAGCCCCTCCTCTGGGGAGGCACTAGCAGAATTCCAAGTGTTGGTCACTGGGGACGTTGTACTTGAGCTTGTGGGCTTCGAAGAGGTTGCTTAGCTCCTTCATGTAGCGCTGGTGCAGCCTGTCCACCTCTTCCTGTGAGGGACGCGGTGTCTTCTGCACCTCGATGGGCGTCCCCACTGCAAGACACAAAGGAGTGAGGTGGCCCAGAGCAGGAACCACCGGAGTTGCAGTGCCCTTGGGGTTCACACCACAATGGTCATGGGTGCAGGAAAGTGCTCTTACTGTCTCACTTTCAATTCTATTTTGGGTGATAAGTTCTAAGATGTTAGGGCAACTCCAAGATTCTGATATATTACCAATACCACCAGCTGGCATTTACAAGCAACATCCCCTATAGTCATCCTAACGATCCCATATGGATAGAACCTGCTATTATTCCTCTTTGACAGGTCAGGTGATGAGGCTCAAGGAGGTTAAGTAACTTGTTCAAGGTCACATAGCCAGGAAGAATCAGTGCCAGGTGGTAAGCCCTGGGGGTGTGTTCTTAACCTCCAGGCCAGGTGGCTCTGGGAGTCTCAGATACCGTGATGGGAAGCGCCTGTATGTCTTGGGGGGAGGCGGCCCACAGCCCAAGCGCCCTGCTTCCCCCCTCTCTCTCCATGCTGGCCTGCAGTGCCCCCTTTCTAGGGAGGGATCGGGAGGCCCTATGTACCTCCTTCCTCTGGTTCTGCCTGGCTCAGGAAGAAGCTGCTGTGTTCTTCTCTTGGGAATGGCTCTGGAGGCAGCACATGTGAATTATATTCATGAAAATATTACCACACAACCCAGAGAAAGTCATGGTGTAGGGGACTGACCAAGTCTGTACTCAACTAAGGAATGACTGGGTGGTTGGAGATGAACAGACCTCTCTCTACAAGCTTTGCCATTGGAGGAAAGCTCCAATGGTGGAGCTCCACAGGTGGAATCCAAGAAGCTCCATAGGTGGAATCCAAGAAGAAAGCAAATGAGCTGTCCAAATAGCTGGAAAGACGGTGCTAAGTCCATGCACTGAAGCCCATGCCCATTATTTACAGGAAAATCCCTCAGGCTCTCTTTCATAGCCTGCTGATTGCTACTTTACACACAATTCTAACACCTGGAATGCCCTTCCCTTGTATCCATCTTCTCCGATAAGCCTTATGAGATCATCTGGTCAGAATTAAACCCTCCTTCTTTGGTATAATAAAAAAGTCAAATAGATCCTGACCAAACCTCAACTTATTTACTCAAGGGCAGGGTGTTCTTTTGGAAATGATTTAACTTCTCTGAGTCTCAGTTTGCCATCAGTGAAATGGGGATGACAGTCCCTGCCTCCAAGGTTGTTGGGATAACTGAGCTGCTGCATGTAAGGAGCCAGTACAGTGCCTGGCACACAGCAGGTGCTCGGTACTCAGTAGTGGCTACTGTTCTTTGTGTCTCTGTTAGAGTTCTCCTCCCAGACTGCCTTATATCTGCCTGTGTAACTGTTTCCCAGTCTAGAATGTGAGTTCCACAAGGTCAAAGATGTGTCTGGCCCATGTGCGTGTCCCCTTGCAGCACACAGCCTGGGCCCCTTGCCCTGTAGGTTTCCCCATCCCAGCCTGGGTCTTGGCTCACCCACGGTGGTGATGGGCTGGCGGTAGGGCATCAGACCAAAGCTGTACTGGAAGACACCACGGCCGTGGAAGAGCGGGAGGGAGACTCTCATGATCTTCTGCAGTCGGTTCTGGGTCCGGCGCAACCAGGAGCCAGGAGAGTTGTCAACCTGGTCAAATAGGTCATTCTCCCCAAAGGAGAAGATCGGCACCAGAGCGGCCCTGGCGGGAGACAGGAGAGAGGGTTAGGAGGTGCAAGAAGGTGCAAGCTTGTCGCCTAGCTTCCTGCAGGGACCCAGTGACCAGGAATTAGGGTAGAGAACAGAGCCCTGGGCCGGAAGTAGGAGGCCTCTGGTGTCTCCCAGTCCTGCTATGGCCTTGCTCTGTGACTGTGGGCAGGTCCCAGCTCTTCTCAGGACCACTGCCTGGCAGTTGTAACATGACAGGGAGACTAGAATGCTGCAGAGAGTCGTCCCAGATAAAAAAAACATTTGCAAACTTTGGAAAAGTCTGACCTGCCCCAGTTAGCTTGTATTCTTCAAAGATGCTCCAAGGTAGGAGAATAGTTCTAAGCAATGCCCCAAACTCCATTCTCCCAGATCCCCTCCGTCTCAGATCTAATGCAAGCTTTCAGCAGTATGACCCTTGACACTTAGTCCCTTTAATCACCAAATCTCCCTTCTAGACTCTTCTCTGGGTATTTGGGAATGAGACAGTACATCATCACCAACGCAGAATCTTCATTGTGAATGGATTGAGAGTCTCCCTGCCAGGGCTTCACTGGTGGCACAGTGGTTAAGAATCCACCTGCCAATGCAGGGGACACGGGTTCAAGCCCTGGTCCGGGAAGATCCCGCATGCCTCGGAGCCCCTAAGCCCATGCGCCACAACTACTGAAGCCCGGGCACCTAGAGCCCGTGCTCCGCAATGAGAAGCCTGCGTGCCGCAATGAAGAGTGGCCCCCACTCGCCGCAACTAGAGAAAGCCCACGTGCAGCAACAAAGACCCAACGCAGCCAAAAATAAATAAATTAATTAATTAAAAAAAAATCTCCCTGCCAAAATAGGATCTGCATTAATCTCTGCTGTCTTCCCACTAAAATACAATCCTTGCCAATCTCCAATTGAACGAGAGCCCTCTCCCCCGATACCCGTGCATTAGGGCGAGCCTGATGAAGCCCTTGCGGTTCCGCAGCAACAGCCTGTAATCTCCAGGCCTGGCGTTCAGTGCCTCCTGGGCGCCCCCAACAATGATGGCCAAAAGGCTGCCACCTCCCTTCCTGTTCAGAATGTGAGCGGCGCTCTCCTTGTCTGCTGAGACCAGCCCTGGGGAGAGGAAGAAGGTCAAGTATGGTGTGAAGCGGGCAGGGATGGTGGAGGAGGATGTGCTCTGGGCTCCACCCCCCGAACTGGGAGTTCCCTGAGGACTGGGACTGAGTCCTCCCCCTCTTCCCAACCCCTTGCCGAGCTCCTTGCTGGGCACGGAGCTGTGGGAAGTGCTTCCTTGGGTCTAGCCTCCTTCTCCACTACACATGTTCTTGGATTAAGTACAGAATTGTTAGAAGTCCTCCTTAAAATCCCTCCTCCATGCCTCCAGCCCTCATCTTCCTGGGCTACCCAGGGGTGGGAAGACTCACCCCCCGACATGATGTAATCCCTGAAGAAAGGGGTCCAGAACCACAAGTTCAGCATCATCAGATGTGGGCGGATGCCGGGGAACAGTGAAGAAAAACCGGTGCTCTCGGTGCACAGGTTGGTAAAAGCTCCAGCCGCCAGGATCCCGTGGGGGTGGAAGCCAGCGAGGTAGTTCCGGGAGGGGTCCAGCTCCACGGTCTTGACCAGCTGCAGGGACAGCAACCTGGTGAGTCGGGGCTGGACCTCAGGCCCTCCCTGATTCTGCCATCACCAGTGTGACCTTGAGCAACTTACTCCCCCTCTCTGAGCCTCAGGTTCTTATGAAGATGGAGATATGCGTTTGAATGCATCTAGGGAGACCGTGGTGCCATCTGTGTCTCAGACTCGCTGCTGGCTTCGGACAAATTGCTTCCCTCTCTGGCTTTTAATTTATCAAATGCAGACATTTGACCCTGTCCCACCTACCTCCCAGGACTGCTGAGAAGCTCAGGTCCATGTGTGCCATGGAATTACCAAGACTACAGGACAGGATGATCATAATTGATACATTGAATTATAATTGGTATAGTTCATACACCATCAAGGGCCACACAGGGGTGCCACTATGCTTGAAGAGCCCTATTTTAACAAAACTCCCTATGAGAAAATTTGGCGCTTAGGACCTGGGAGTGAGCATTTGCAAGATATATCGGGGTGGTTGAAAGAGCGTGCAGACCTGGAGACTGGCCCTAGTCCTGTTAACCCCTCTGTACAATGCAAATGTCTCCCTGGTGGTTCTCTGCTCCCCCCATGTCAGACCTTCACTGCCATCCATCCACCTGTTCCCCTGCCCATTGGCAGCTCTGCCCTGGTCTGGTCAGTCCTGCAGCATGGAGGGTGCCGGGGAGACCACTAGATATTGTAGAGGGAGTGGGAGAGGAGAGCTGTTTGTCATTAGCAGCTTCCAGGCAAAGTGGGCTGAGGGTGGAAGGAGAGGAACTGAGTTAACAAGTGCTGCTCCCGCCGTTTACTGGACAGGCTTCAGTGTGCGAAGATTACTGCCGGGGCACTGATTGTGTGTGTGACCAACCCCTGCTCCACTCTGCCAGTAACTGCCGGGCCTGCCCTTTACAGAGCCCTGTTATCTGGGAGGCACAGCCATCAGAGTTGGAGGCCCTGAGGCCCCTGGCCCAAGCCCTAAGCCCCTGGCAGGAGGCTCCCTGACAATTCTGCACAGGCCTTGCAGGCGTGAGCAGTCCATTCCGCTCTGGCTCAGCTCTGACACCGTGAAAGTTCATCCTGTCACCAAGCTGAAATTTTCAGAATGACCCTGAGGATTCTTGTTGCCTTCGGGCCCCAGAAGCCTGGCTGCCTGCTCTCAGAGCAGCCTGGTGGGACCCAAGGGACAGCAATGGGGGTCTGATCCTGTCTGCCCTACCCAAGCTGAACAGCCCCAAATTGTCCTGTCCTTGACCTGGACTTGATCTCCGCAAATCCCCACCCCCCCAGTATGCCCTCTGGTTACCCTTGATCCTTTGCAGAAAGGCTGAGGGGACCATAGGTGGAGGCGCCATTGCTTCCCAGATGAGGACAAACTTCTTCCACTCGTTCGGTGGGGATTTATTGGACGTGAAAATAAGAACAAGCAGAGATAATTCTGGTTATTCTCATTGGGAAAGGTGTTTCCTTAGGAACCCATCTCGGTGTGTTTCTTGAAAAACATACCTGGCTCCCCGCACTGAAGCACTTGCTTATGCATTCTCTTTCTCAGCTAGTGGGAAAATAATTTTTGTACAACCTGCCTAAACGCAATGAGGCAGTATTTATCGATATTACAATTGAAAAACGTAACTGACCTTTTAGGCCAGCAACTCCACTGCTGAGGAAGTTAGCTACAGAATTTCTCATACTTGTGCAAAATGACATCTGAACAAGATTATTAACTGAAGTATCATTTTTAGTAATACCAAAACTTGGCATCCACTCAAATGTCCATCAACAGGGCCCATTTAGACAAATTATGGAACATTCACTCATGGGCCACTGTGTAGCCATAGGGATGTACGACATAGCTCTTCCTGTCCTGATACAGGAAGATGCCACAGTTGCTTGTCGGGTGAAAAAGCAAAGAGCAAGACGATGCGTGCAGAACGTCACCAGCTGTGCCGAGAAGGGTAACAGGAGGTGGAGACAGCTCCTCCTGGGGGAAACTTTGCCTGATTCTCCACCATTAGCCCTTTAGGAAGGCTAAGGGTGAGGTTGGAAAGCTCCAAGACACAGAGACTGTGCCCTAATTTTGCTTGAAATTCACCACTAGATGCTAGTTTGTAAAATCACAGTAAGAACTGATAGAAGCTCAGGGATCCACATGCATTTGACAGGGAAGGCAGAGGCTTGTGAATGTGGGGAGCTCCAGCAGAGTGGGGACTCCTTATCCAGGACCCCCTGCCTCCTGGCCACCCTAAGATCCCTGCAGGGCCTGCGCTTTGAAAGTATGTGGAAGAGCAGGAGGGTCTCCAGGGAGGTGGTGGGGTCCAGAATCCGCAGACCCCAGCGCCACCCCTGCAGGCTCCCAGCCCAGGACAGGCAAGTCAAAGTGCTCATCTTCTCACTCCCTGCAGGTCTCTTGGTGGTACTGCCCGCCCTCTGCAGGTGGTGATGCCACAGGCCTGCAGTGGGCGACAATCCTGAACACTGTGCGCATGGAATTTCTGCAAAACAAGTCCAGTGTCCTACCAGTGTCAGTAGTCCCAGGGTTGAGAAACCCTCCTGGGGGCCTAACTGGCTGGGGCAGCAGGAGGATGGCGGGTAGGACAGGCACAGAGCTGCTCAGCATCAGGTTCCGCAACTGTCAGCAGCTCCAGCTGTAAAGAGAGCCAGATGCTGTCCTTTGGAGGTCACGGGATGGCAGGAAGACAGCCCCCTGGAGAGCTTTCAGCTGAAGAGCTCCAGTTCTGTGGAATGGCCTGCACTGGCCTCCATTACCTTATCCCTAAAAACCTCTCCCGCCTCATCCCCAGGTGCACCTTCTGCTTTAGTCACACTATTGCTCAGAAACCATGCAGCGGCAGGCTCTGGGCCTGAGCTTGCGCTCTTCCCTTCGCAGGCCGCCTTTCCTTCCCTGGTGGACTCAGGATTTAGCTCACAGTGTGGAGTGAGACCACGGAGCCAGAATCTGCAAAGCTCTACTTGAGGCCAGAAACCACTTATAGTTTTCTTTGGCTTGGTAGCTGATGTCACAAACACTCTCAGGCTACAGGCCATACTTTCCCATGGAAACTCTGGCCTTCCTGGCACAGAAGAGCGAGCCTGGGAAGAGGAGGGGGGGGATGAGAATTCAGAATCTCAAAGCTCAGAAGTCCTGGGGTGGGGTTGAGGGACGCTGCCCATGACATTCCCATGGCTTCCCTCGGGACCCAGCAAACCCTGCTCGTTTCTGCTGACAAGGTCCTGGGAGGGCACCCTGCAGAGGAAGCAGATATGGGGTAGAGGAAGACTGCCCCCACCCGGGCCCCTCAGGTTGGCTCAGCACTGCCCACTTGCTCTGCCCTTCAACATCACCCCTAATGAGCATGGAAGCCTCTGCCAGCCAACTTCCTGCCCTCTGCCCAGCCCCTGCCCTGCTGCCCTGCCTTGCCCTGCCCCATCCCACCCTTTCCCTTTGCCCAGGAGGCCCTGCTCACTGGATGCTAAGGGCTCCTGCACCCGAGCTGTTGCCCAGCCTTTGCTAGTCCTTGCTGGGCTCCAGAACTCTCAGAAAGGAGCAAGGCGGGAACTCTGACTCTGCTGCTGAGCGCCCATGACTTGGCCAAGCTGTTTACCCTCTTTGAGTCTGTTTCCTCCATTCCCTATCGCTTTACCAGCTGGGGACCTAATTTCTGGAGGGCCAGGAAGAGGTGGGGCTCCCAGATTGGGGTGGGAGAAGCCATGCAGGTGTGAAGGGCAGAACAGCCAGTCTCTGGGCTATCAGAGTCCTCCCTAGACCCACAGCCATGCCCACATCTCCCCAGAATCCCCAGCAATTCAGTAAAATAATACAAACTACTAGTTTACTAAGAACATACAAAGTGCTTTACTTGCTGTCTCATGGAATCCACACAACCCAATGATGTATGTGGCATCATCTCCACTTTACATATGAGGAAACTGAGGCTCAGAGAGACTGTGTAACTCACCCAAGGTCGCGCCACTTGTATGTTGCAGAACTGATAATAGAACCTAGTCTGTTCAGCTCCAGAGGCCACACTCTATATGTTTCTTCTCTCCTGTTTCCAGAGGAGGGCCACCTGCCCCTGCCTGGCACCTCTCTGAGTCCCCATTGCCTTCCCCATCCTATCTGGACAATAAATCATCCCTGCCCAGCTGCTTATACCCAAGAGTTTAGTCTGTCTGGGATTCAGGAAAGGAGCCAAGGTCAGTTCACTCAATCAAGGATTCTGCTCCACTCAGGACTGAACTTTGGATCCAGGGTCAAGTGTCCAAAAGGCCATGAGGTGCCCTGAGTCAGAAAGTCAGAGATTCAAAAGCACTCAAGTGAGAGGGATCAGTGTGCTCACTGGGATACATTTGTAAACTAAGGTTTAGAATGGGGCAAGGCCTTGTCCAAGGATGCCTAACATACCAGAGTGAGGGGAAGAATCTGAGAACAAGTTCAGGGTCCTCTCCCCTGTCCCTCTAAACTGACTAAATGTACAAACTTTAAATCAGTAAAAGAGCTTTGTATGTGAACTTGATCACATCCTTGTCCCTCTCTAGGGGTTAGTCTCCTCATCTTATGAAGTGTGGGGCCAGAGGGTCTCTTAGGACCTTAAGTTTATTACCTTCACCCCCAAGCATGGCTACTGAGGGGTTTATAAGATACATATGTGTGCCACACTACATGGCCCACAGAGCTCCTTCAAATCCTGTTCATTCATCAGTCCTCATACTTGCCCCAAATCCCTGCAGGTGGGAAACCATGGCCAGACAGAAGCTGGACTCTTCCCCAGGCCACATAGTGGTGGAAGCCCGGCTCCTACCCCCCAGCCCAGTATTCTGCTCACTGCACACAGGGCCGCACTTCCCCACGGACATGTGGGGTACTACGGTCCTGGCCGCACCCCAGCCAGCCCCATTACTCACTGAGACAGGGAAATAGTCCTTCATGTACTTCCATATGACCCAGCGCCTTACGGCCTCAATGCGCCTGCCCCCCTGCCATGGCTTGTCTCGGTCCAGGTACAACCAGGTTGCATACAGGATACTGAAGATCCAGAATCTTGTGAACAGGAGACCTATGAAGACCACAATGCAGATCTGGGCTGGGGAGGGAAGCAGGAACCATCATCAGTGGTCAGAGGGGTGAAGGAAGGATTTCCACCCCTATGCCCAGCACCAGCAGCACTGTCCTGTCCAGCCCTCAACCCAGGCAGAAGGGGTCAGCCTCCCCTCCCCTCAAAGAGGAAGGAATGCAGCCCATCCAGTGTCATACTGGGAGCCTGGATTTGAGGCCAGGTAGGCCTAACTCCAAACTCACTTTTTCCCACTGCACCAGGCTGCCTCATTCACTCCAGTCTTCCCCCTCCACCTCCTCTCTGTCCAGTTAAGTATCTGTATTCACCAGGTGCTCAATAAATGCCTGGGGGAGAAGTGACTGGTTTAACTGTTTCTCGTTTCCACCCTTTGGGCCCTCAGAGAAAAAGGAGGCATTCTCTCTGCCCAGCCCTCTCTGTCCACTCTCGCCCATCTTTCCATAGATAAATCCTGCCAGATTCCCCCTCTAATTAAAGTCCTTCCGTGGCTTTCTCATAACTTTAAAAACAGCCCATGTAGCTCAGCCTGGCATTCAGGCTCCCCACGGCTGGTCTGATCCCCCTCCCACTCCAGTCTCACTCACCCACATGCACCCCATGCTCCGGCCACATGAAACTGCTCAGTGTACCTACACTGAGAGATTGAGTTCCTTCAATCTCTTAGCTTTTGCTTATGCTGCTTCCTCTGCCTGCCATGCCCTTTCCTGGTGAAGGAGGCAGGAAGTAAGAGGCCAACTTGTGGCTGGCCCATGGGTTGGGGTGCAGCATGGCTAGGACCAGGTCAAGTGAGGAAATACCTTCTTACCTACGATTCCAAGTCCCTTGTGGCAAGCTAATCCTGGCTTCATCTCAGGGTCAGGGGGTCTGTGGGGCTGACCCTTACCTGATGCTAATGGAACATCATTCCCAGAGAATATTTCTCCCTCCCCATCCCATTCCTTCCACTCAACACCATGCACTCACACTCTTAAAAAGGTCAGCCTCCGGTTGTATTGCATCTGAAAGCGGGGTAGACTGGGTCTGTCATTCCTGGCAGGCTTCCAGGATAAGGGGACTTTTGACCCAGTCTGAACAGTAGTAAAATTCATAAGCCAGAGAAAATAGGTTGGGGCTCGCAGATGTTCAGTTTACACAGAACACCTATGTGCCAGGTGTTGGTGGTTCAGCCGTGAACAACAGAGAAAAATTCCTGCCCTCGTGGAGCTGACTTTCCAGTGCAGTGTTTGGGGCACTTGTTTGTTTTTTTAAATTTCTACGGTGGTAAAATATACGTAACATAAACTTTATCATCTGAACCATTTTTTTTTTCAGAGTTGCTTTCTCTTTAATTCTCCATAAGGCATCACTATTATACTATCATATATGAATATGTGTGTGTGTGTGTATTTTTTTTGCTTTCTTAAAAAAGTAGAAATTCTCTCTTCATTCACCTCTGTTTGATACAAAGTAGGTGCCCAAGTAGGTAGTTAGAAATTAAATAAAGGACACAAAAACTTCCCAACGAAGATCATTAAAGAGAAAAATCCTTTCTTCCTCTTATTACAGCTGATCTTTGACACATGCCAGGTAAGAAAAAAGGAATCACGCATGGTGATGGGAAGACTGGACCTCTCCCTCTCTGGGTTGCAGCTGAACTTCTATTGGTGGTCCTAGTAAAATATATAACTCTTCATTTGTTCTAAGCAAGTCCTTCTTTCAGCATTCCTTCAAACAATGCCTTTACTCTCCCACCAGAGTATGAGGATTTAGAGATTTTGAGCAGCAAGGTTCTGGTTGGGTAGCAGTCTCTTTAAATTGTGTGTTGGCTATGTAGAGAGAGGGAAAGTTATGGGAGAATGGCAAGGGAGGAGGGTGAGAGAAAGAGAGAAATGTATCTTCTTCTCCGGGAGCACTGGAAGAAAGCAAGCTTTTCAAAGTCGTTGCCGGTATCTCATGAAGGCCCAGGCTGCTACCATGATGAGGGCAAACACGGGCGCCAGCACCACAGTTATGGGAATACCACTTGGCTCCCCTTCACCGTGATGTCCTAGAGGCCCATTCTGCACCTGTAACCTGTGCTGCACTCTCAGGGACACAGCATAGCCTGCATTACGAAAGAGGTCTACAGCATCCTGGTGCAGCAGGTTCTTTAGGTCTTGGCCGTTTACCGAGAGGATCTTATCACCCTCCTGGAGCCGCCCATCCAGGGCTGCAGCCCCGTTCTCTTTGATGCGGCTGACGAAGATGCCACTGTCATTGGAGACATACTGCTGATCTGTGCCACCGACGATGTTGAAGCCCAGCCCTGAGGGTCCTCTAGTGAGATTGATCTCCTCCTCAGTAACCAAGTAATCCACTCTTCCGTTCATATTTTACTCTTGTCTGGCTTCCCAACCTGGGTCAGCGAGGGCTCGCGCAGGCGAAGGTGAAAATCCCATCTGAACCATTTTTAAGTGCACGGTTCAGTGGCATTAAGTTCATTCACATTGACCATCATGACCATCCATTCCCAGAATTCTTTTCATTTTCCCAAACTAAACCTCTGTACCCATTAAACAAAAACTCCCAGGTCCCCCTCCCCCAGCCCCTGGCAACCACCATTCTCTTTTCTGTCTCCATGGATTTGATTAGTCCACAAACCTCACATAAGAGGAATCATAAAGTATTTGTGTGTGTGTGTGTGTGTGTGTGTGTGTGTGTGTGTGTGTGTGTGTGACTGGCTTATCTCACTTAGCACAACATCCTCAAGATTCATCCATGTTGTTGTATGTTTCAGAAACTCCTTCCTTTTTATGGCTGAATAACATTCCATTGTGTTATTTGCGGCATTTGCTATACATTCATCCATCAATGGACCGATGGACAATTGGGTTTCTTCCACCTCTGTAGTTTATTTTAAAATAGCATTTAAGTAGTCACTAATAATGAAAAATGGGGAGGCTTCACACTCAAACCCATTCATCTGGCGTCTCTTGAACATCAGGAAGGAGCGGCAGCCCTGAGTCACTGCCATCGCAGGCAGCTCCCCTCCTTCCCAGGCCTGCTGGCCAATGGCTGCTGGAACCCGTGCTCTCACATCAGCCTCGTGATTCCTGGAGGATTCAGAAAAGGACGAACCACACTCCTGGTGAGTTGATCACTTTTTTGTTTGCCTTTAAGTTTTTTTAATAAAAAACTTGAAAGGGAAAGTTGCAGAAGAGTGGGAATGAAATGCCACCATTTGCATGAAGAATAATGTCCACCCTTGTGGATGCTCATGCATAGAAGCTGGAAGGACACCTGCAGATCTGGAGGGAGGAGGCAGAGGCCAGGAGGTAAGGGATAAGGATGGCTTGGCAGTTGACTTAGATTTTATCATTTTTATTTACATATCAAATATTTAATGTGAGAAAATGGTAAAGAACCTCAGCTAGGACTCTCTGCCCTTGGGCAAAATCAAAAGTCTATGTGGGTTGATCCCCCTTTCAGAAAACCGCCTCTAGAGAATAAAACAGAGTTGTTAATAGTGGCTCCCTGGAGGGAATTCCCTGGCCGTCCAGTGCTTAGGACTCCGCGCTTTCATGGCTGCTTTCACACAAGCCACGATGGGCACAGCCCAAAATAAATAAATAAATAAATAAAAATAGTGGCTCCCTGGAGGGTAGGATCTGGGGAAGTCTTTCACTTTTAGGATACATATTTTGTTTGGATGTGCTACAACAGCACGTATTCATTTTTGTAACTAACATAGCATGTTAAGGTTAGGACAAAACCCACACAAGAGGAACTTGCACTTGACAGAAAGAACTCTCCACCATCTCCCTCACCCTGAGGTCACCTTTTAACTCCTGTCAGCAAGCAAAACCCAAACTTGGGGATCTTTTCAATCCCTTAGGAAGGGAGACACCTTCTTTCGCCTTGTAACACCAAGGGGGGGAAATGTAAGAACCCACTTTACTGAGACCCAGAGAGGGTATGCAAATTGGCTAAGGTCCCAGAGCAAGCTAGTAGAATGGGACCTGGCATTCAATTCTACTCTTTTGTCTACATCATGCTCCCAACATTCATTCATTCAACAAACATTTATCAACACCAACTCTTCTAGGAGCTGGAGATGCAGCTGAGAACAAGACCATTTGAATGGAGCTTACCTTCTTCCTGTGTGAGTGTGTGAATTATAGAGGAGAGGAAAGGAAACTGAGTAAAGATGTAACCCACTGGAAAGTATTTGTTTCTGGGCCCTGAGTCCTCAGTGACAGGCCCTGGTTGACCTCTCCGGCCAATTCTTTGCCCCTCCCCAAAATGCCTGCTCTATGTGAGCCAGCCGTTCACAACATGTGTGGTGTTTACTCCCCCACTGGAAGTCCTTACTCTCCTGCCAGTCTGTAAATCCTGCCCTGTGGACTCATCTCCTAAGTATCCTTGAAAAGCGGCCCTTTCTTTCCACTCACTGCCAGACCAGGGGAGGCAATCTTTTTCTTAAAGGGCCAGATTGTAAATATTTTAGACTCTGAGGCTATATGGGGCAACTTGGAGGATATTACATAGGTACGTAATCATTTGAATTACGCAAACATTTAAAATCTAAAAACTATTCTTGGCTCATGGGCTGTACAAATGCAAAAACAATCAGTGGGCTGGATTTGGTCCATGCCACATGGGACCCCGATCTAGCTGGCGGCTACTCCCTGCTATTGGTCTAACCCCCACACCCCAAACACAGCAGATCCATAGACTTCAGGCACTGAGACCTGTCACACACAGATTGCACCTTGTCACTCCTGTACCAAAAAGCCTCCTGGGCTCCCCTTTGTCCCCAAGATAAGGGACAAGGTACAAGCTCCTGCTCGTGGCGCGAGTGGGCTCAGATCCCTTTGCTCAGCGACCCTCCCTCTAGCTCCAGACCCAGCGCTGCTTGACCTCCCTGTGCTGCTCCTGACATTGCCAGGACCCCCCGCTGGGCTAGGGGTGGGCACGGACAGTCAGACACACTCCTGCTGGGAAAGCTTTCCCAAGGCCAGCTGGGCAAGATGTCCCTCATACCCTGTAATCCCCGGGCCTCAGCCCACCTGGCTCTGGGCCCCCAGTGCCCTTTGCCCAGGAGCCAGCCTACTTGTCGGCTTGTGGCCTCCTGCCCCTTCTCCACACCTCCTCCCACGCCCTCAGCCCTCTCTCCTCCTTCTACCACCTTCCCTCTCCTCCTCTGGCAGTAGGAGGAGTCCAGACCTACAGCCTTGGACATTTAAGGCAATTAGCTTCTCTGCTCATCTGTGGAATGGGGTAACCGGGGATATTTTAAATGTTTTAACAACTCTTAGGGCAGAGACACAGGTCAATCATCAGGGATGCTAGGGGCAGGGAACTGGAGGGCTTGCTTTAGCTGCAAAATTTCGGGGAGCTTCTGAGCGAGGACATGGGGTATGTGTATTGTATGTGTGTGTGTGTGTGTGTGTGTGTGTGTGTGTGTGTGTGTGTGTGAAATGGCTATTGACCAGTCTGTAAAGAGTATGTCCACAGTTTAACGCCAGTGTAGTGGCATCAGTGTACAGGCTGAACAGTAGCCCTGGGGGGCGCCCTCCCTACCCAGTCTGGCACCAGCAGGTGAGATGAAGAATCCCATTGCCTCCCACCCCCCCAGCCCAGCCCACCTTACCCAGAGCCAGAAAGCAGAAAACCCACTGCAGGACCACAAAGGTCTGCATCCTGCGCTCCCATGGCACGGACAAAGGTGCAAACTTCACCATGCTGTCTCTTTGGTTGGTTCCGGTGTCTTCTCTGAGCTCTGCCGCGGTCTGAGGCACCTACTTACTGATTTTTGCTGCTGCCAGAGGTTGAGTAAGCGTTAGTGGTTGGGGAGGAGGGCGCCCCACCCCACACTGCCCAGCCCAAGGCCTCCCTGCCCCCGCCCTGGCAAGGATCTGTTTCCTGGTAGAAAGCTTTGAACCCACTTGCCCTGGAGCCAGGTAAAGGAAGGAGGAAGGGAAGAACATTTGCCTCCTCAAGCAAAACCTTATCTGCCAGATGCCTTTCTCTGTGCCTGAATCTTGCCCTCCACTTGGCAGGTAAAGCACTGAGTATAGGGCAATCCTGTCCCTCTTCACCTACCCAATGACACGGCTGCAATAACTGTCTCTTCTCTTCTGCCACTGTTCCCCTCCACAAGCATGCAGTAGCAACTCCTGTCCACAAACCCTTCGGCCCCGCCGTCTCCTCCACCTTCTGCCCTATTCATGGAAGAGCCCTGTCTGCATTCCACATCCTCCCCTCCCATTCTGTCCTCCCTCCTCCAGACTTCAGATGCCATTGTCCCATGGAACTGCCCTTGACAAGCTCACCAATGGCCTCCATGCTGCTGAATCCAGTGGTCCCTTCTCAGCTCTCATCTTGACCTCTCGGCAGCCCGAGACACAGCTGGTCACTCCCTGCTCCCTGAAACCACTTGGCCTGTGGACTCCACACTCTCCTGGTTTCTTTCCTGCCCCTCTGGCTGCCCCTGGGTCTAATTGTGGCTCTTAGCCTTCAGCAGGCTAAGTGTTGGAGTGCTCTCTTGCCCACTTAGTCCTTGTGAAACAAGAGGGAAGAGGGCAGAGCACAACCTTTAAAAGAATGACATAGGGCTTCCCTGGTGGCGCAGTGGTTGAGAGTCCGCCTGCCGATGCAGGGGACACGGGTTCGTGCCCCGGTCCGGGAAGATCCCACATGCCGCGGAGCGGCTGGGCCCGTGAGTCATGGCCACTGAGCCTGCGCTCCGCAACAGGAGAGGCCACAGCAGTGAGAGGCCCGCGTACCGCAAAAAAAAAAAAAAAAAAAAAAGAATGACACAGCCCGACGACGCGACATAAACTGATTAGGACCAAATAAGTCCAAGATGGCGGACGAGTCGACTTTCACTAGACTTTGTGTGTGTTTAATTTTGGCTGCACCATGCAGCATGTGGAATCTTAGTTCCCCAACCAGGGATAGAACCCGTGCCCCCTGCAGTGGAAGCGCAGAGTCCTAACCTCTGGACCACCAGGGAAGTCCCTCTAGTGGACCTTGAGCCTCAGTATACACTCATTGTAACATATCAGCAAGCTAAATGTCACACCCACAGGTGCCATGACAGTTCAAGGCCAACCATAAAGGTCAAAAAGTAGGCGGTGGCCCAATTCCTGGAAATCCCCACCCCTTCCCCAAAATAGCTGGAATACTACTTCCACTCAGTAACCTATGTAATTACCCACTCCTATAAAAACTGACAACCGCATACCCTGGTGTCTTTCTCACCTTCTGAGATGGCCTACACTCTGTCTGTGGAGTGTTTCTCTCTAAATAAATCCACTTCTTACCTATCACTTTGCCTCTCACTGAATTCTTTTTGCTATGAGACATCAAGAATCTGAGCTTCATTAAGTCCTGAGACCAGGCGTGTGATCTCAGTTAAAAGATTGTGGGTTCAAGTCCCAGTCTGGGTTTTGGCTGGGTTCCAGTTCCAGCCCATAGGTTCAAGCCCCAATCTGAGTTACACGGTTTCACTTGGAACCTCCCTCTTCTCTCCACCCTCTCTCCTGCAGAGATTTCATCCAGGCTCATGGCCTTGGAGTCTATCTGCAGGACAAACACTTCCAAACTGCATCTGCAGCCCTGACTTCCCCCTGGGCTCCAGACTTGACTAGCTAGGTGGCTACTTGACATCTTCCCTGACAGCCGGCTCAGCACCTCCATCACAGCCTGTCTAAAACTGAACTTGACCTCCCCTCACCTGCCCAGGCTGGCCTTTCCTCTGCTGTTTGCCATCTCAGGAAAGGGGACTCCAGTGACCTGGTTCCTCAGGACAAAACCTTAGAGTCACACTAGACTCTTTCCATCCCTCTCCATCCAACTCTCTCAGTCAGTTCTCCTAAATCTCTCCATTTAAATGTACACTTTGTACTGAAATGTATCAAGCATACAGTAAAAGGCACAAATCCTAAGTGTAGGAGTGACACATTGTCACAGAGTGGACATACTGGTGTGACCTCTGCTCTGATGCACAAATAGAACCTGACCAGCACCCGTGTCCTTGCCTGTCACTCCTCTCCTCCCTGACCCTCACACCAACCTCGTCTCTGCTTCGAACTTTATAATAAGTGAGCCTTACACAATATACCCTCTGGGACGGTCTCTTTTGGCTCAAGATTATATTTTGAGAGTCATCCAAATTGTGTGTATTTGTAGTACGTTTGTTCTCGTTGCCATATAGGACTTCACTCTGTGAATATGCCAAAATTCATCCATTTCACTGCTGAGAGGTATTTGGGCTGTTGTCTGTTTCTGGCTATTGTGAATTGTGCTGCTATGGGCATTCTTTTCTATTTTCTTTTTTTTTCCAATTTTTTTTGAGAAAAAATTGACATATATCATTGTATAAGTTTCAGGTATACAGCATGATGGTTTGATTCACATATGTTGTGAATGATTACAATAGATTTAGTTAACATCCATTGTCTCACATAGTGCAATAAAAAGAAAGGGAAAAAAATCTCCTTTTTATGAGAACTCTGATCTACTCTCTTCCCAACTCTCCTATGTATCACAGAGCAGTACAGGCATTCTGTACATGGCTTGTGGTGCACATTTCTATACTTTTCTGTTGTGTGTGTGCCTGGGAATAGACTGGCTGGGTCTCCTGGTATAAAGCCACGTATTTTCCAAAGTGGTTGTACAAATTTACACCCACAAGGGCCGCATGAGATTCCAGTTGCTCCATATCCTTCTCAACATTTTAGCCATTGTAGTGAGTATGCGGGGATACTTCATTGTGCTTATAGTGATTTCCTAATGCCTAAGAGGTTGAGCACACTTTAATATGTTTATTGGCCATTTGGATATGATTTTATATCAAGTTCATGTTCTAGTCTATTGTCGATTTAAATATCTCTCACGTTGGAAAGCTGCTTTCCACACCCACAGCCAGCCTCTTTGATTGACTCTGACATCAGCGTTCTCACTGATCTCTGTCACTGTGCCCTTTCTCCCTCCCAGAATCTCAACAGCCGGAGGGACTGCTGGGTCAGAGTATGTGACTGCAGGAGCTTGGCAGTAGTAGGGCCAGACTTTTCCCAAAACAGCAGCACCAGTTTATACCTTCACCAGAAATATATGCGAGATCCCCTAGATGTGTAGCCTCTCTGGCCCTTGGTGTGGTCAGACTGACTATTATTTGCTAGTGTGCACAGTGGTATCTGGTTGGGATCTTGCATTTCCTGAACATGAATGTTGCACATGGTTTTATTCATAGGAGTTTCCTCTGCTGTGAAAAGCTCATTCTTAATTTTCTTCCATTCCTCTACAGTGTTTTTTGTGCTTTTTGCCTAAATTTGAAGTTTTTCATGCACTCATGTTACTAACCTTTGAAGTCACACATATTGCGAATCTTTCCTCCCAGTTTTTAGCTTGTGTTTTAAGGTGTCACTGGATGAACAAACATTTTACATTTTAATATATTCATATTCATCAGCCTTTTATTAAATAGTCATTGCCTGGTCTGATTCGGGAAATCTTTCCCTACTTATATTTACCATTAAGAATTTAAAGTTTGGGACTTCCCTGGTGGCACAGTTCTTAAGAATCCACCTGCCAATGCAGGGGACACGGGTTCCAACCCTGGTCCGGGAAGATCCCACATGCCACGGAGTAACTAAGCCCGTGTGCCACAACTACTGAACCTGCGCTCTACAGCCCTCAAACCACAACTACTGAGCCCACGTGATGCAACTACTGAAGCCTGCACACTCTAGAGCCTGTGCTCTGCAACAAGAGAAGCCATCGCAATGAGAAGCCCGTGCACCACAATGAAGAGTAGCCCCCACTCGCCGCAACCAGAGAAAGCCCATGCACAGCAATGAAGACCCAAAGCAGCCATAAAATTAATTAATTAATCAAAAAAAAATTTTTAAGTTTGTTGTTTGTTTTTCATATGTAAGTCCTTACTGCATCTGGATGTTTACACAGTATGAGTTAGGTTCCAATTGCATCTTTAACATATGAGAACCATTCTGTGCAGTCCCATTTGTTCACCACCCCCCTTCCCCAATGAGGTAATGTGCCACCTCTGTCATACAATAGATTTCTACACATTTGTGGCCTGTGTCGGGCTTTTATTCTCTTTTATTGTCTGTTTATCTATCTCTGCCAGTGCCACACCATCTTAATTATTTACTTAGCTCTAATATCTAGGAGGGCGAGCCTCCTTGCTCTTCTGTCTTACAATTGTCCAGGCTATAATTCACCTTTACTCTTACATATACATTTTAGAATCATCTCAACAATTTCCAAAATTCTCTCTTGGAATGTTGGAATTCATAAAATGTCGAATCACAGTTCATTTTGAGGAAACACACATGTGAATAAAAATGAAGGAAAGAATAAATGAATTAAATTCCCACATCATAATATCTATTAAAAGAGCAACAAAGAAGCCACAGGAAGAAAATAATAATGATAAAAGCAGAAATTAATGAGAGGTTAGAAAAAGAATAGCTCTAATGAATAAATTAAATTTTTAGTTTTCTAAAAATAACTAATGAAAAAAACATACTACTAGCTAATGTAATCAAGAATAAAAGGGACAAACCACACATTCACAAAGTAAGAAAGGATAGTGGAGATATAATTGATGTAGAAGAAATTTTAAAAGTCAAACAAGGGAGTTCCCTGGGGCCTAGTGATTAGGATTCGGCGCTGTCACTGCCACGGCCTGGGTTCGATCCCTGGAACTGAGATCCCACAAGCTGTGTGGAGTGGACAAAATAAAATAATAAAATAAAATAAAAAA